GATGATCATTTTGGACAAAATATGATAAATATCTTTTTACCTATAAATATTAGGATTAATGAACTGTTATTCTCAGGACAACTGTTGAGGCCCTAAACCACCATACTGAGGAAACTTGAGCCTCAATTGTCTGGGTGCCTGAAATAGCTGTCCTTTAAGGCTAACACTCCCTGTTACCAGGGGAGAAATGTTATCCCCTTCTCCACCATCTCACAATCCTGCTGGGGCAGAACTTCCTTTATAGGGACTGCACTGCAAGTCCCCAAGCTGTCACAGAGACTCTTTCCTCCAAGCCCGAGCTTTGCTGCCCCTGTTTTTTCTTCCTGTCTCTTAGGAAAGCTGGAGTGACAGGCACACATGAAGCTCTCTGTGAGCTCTTTACTCACACTGAAAGAAGCTTCTCCTTTGATTACAGCTATTGGAAAACCTAAGCTCCCCAAAGAAGAACTAGAAACTTCAAAAATCTGAAAGCAAGTCATATGCCTGAAACATCTTTTATGTGGTCTTGTTTTCTGAATTGACTCTATTTCTTCCTCTCCTTTTTATAAATCTTTATGAATTAAGATGGGGGGGGATCTTTCAGTAGGTTAACTCATTTTCAGGGAGATTTGGGCTAACCTGCCAACTTGAATACTCCTCAAAAATAAGCACACTGGGTATGAGCACTACGAAGCCCATCCATAGGTCCTAGAGGGAAGATTGTCTTGGTAGAGAAGTCAATTTGCTTTCCTCACCCACAGTCTTTTGAATGATTTGATTTAAAACTATCATTTTCTAGCTCTTGGTGAGCTTTTATATGCCCCATGACCCATTCCCTCTGATACCACTGCATAGGACACACTTGTCTGCATGGTGGGTGTGGCATGGTGTTGTATGAGGCCTTGACTTCTAAGTTTACAAAGACATGTCAGGTTTCATCCATCCAATGAGCCACTCCTACCTATCCATGCTCTTTTGTTTCCTGTCCTAATTATACCTGTGAGGTAGGCATTCAAATGTGCCGGGCAAACAGATGTGAAATGTGGGTTCAGATAATACCCACTGACAGTGTTTACATGCATCACCAGACGGATGTCTTCTTTAAACCCTATAAAGACTTGACATGCAACATGGACACTAGTCCATTTACTTCCACCTGTGTTGCGGAAAGTGCTCCTGTGGCAATAACTCTCATGGAGGTTTATGGCACTATATGGAGCTACACACTCCCACAGAAAATATCTGAAACCATTTTAGATGGTGCACACCAGGGAGGTCAGTGAATAGGGTGATTTGTGATTAGACTGCATTTTATTTCTCCTTGAAAATTAAACTTAACTCACCATCCACACACCACACATACACAGAAGCAGATTCACTTGAAATAAGAGTGATATTGAGGCTAAAGGTATGGCAGGTTGGACTGGGATTCTACTCCCATGGTCTGGATGGAAAGGTTATTCTATTGTTTGGTGGGGTCAGTTTCACCCTCAGGTGTTGCAGGTGAACTATCCCTCTGGTTTCCTTCTGAAAGAGCCTCCTCCTGAGTTCACTGTGCTCCTTGTATGTTTGTTTGCTGCTTAGTGGTTCAGTTTCTTTTGGATGACCACATGGGCAAAGGCTCCTGCAGTCCCGCGTTCCTTTCAGCCGTAGGGAAGAGCAGTGCTGAAGGATATCAGGCCTGTGGAAGGAGGTTAGATAGACTCTTATCATCGAAGTTTTCTGAAGAGCTGGAGTAGCTGCTTTTAGACATTACAAGTTCTTTGAAGGAAGCCCAGCTAAGGGAACTGTGGTTCTGTCAGATCACTGAGGCTATGGGCCATGTTTGTTTCCTCTTCTGTGAGGTGATTGTTCAGGGTTCCTAGCTCTTAAGATTCAGGGTGTCCATGTTCCTTATGCACACGCACACCCTGGAGTGCATGCAGGTTGCTATCTTAGAGGGAAGCCACATCCTGCGTGCTACCTTCAAAGGATGCTATGGTGTCTTTTGATTTGCTTTTTAGCCCAAGGAAGTAATCATGCCCTTACTGTCTTAAAAGCCAAGAAATCACAAGGCAGGTCAGGCTCAAGTCCAGAATTCCTTTGTCCACTTCCTACAAAGGTGGCTCCTAGGAAACATGAACATTTAATTTGGGGGATGGATCATAGAGTAGGATTTGAGCTGGGGTTCAGGATATCGGGCTTCAGATCAAACTCCGGAACCAAGTCCATGCCCCTAGAGAAGAGGAGATGAAGTGACCTTTCTAACTGGAGATATTCTGTTTCTATTCATAAAGTGTAGGTAGAATTCCTGAACCAATCCCTGCTACAGGTGTGGGATAGTGTGGGAAGAGGGGCTAGAGGCAGGCCTTCCCGGTCCATTCAAAATGTGGTTTATTCAGTTTTCTGGATTAAAATCACCCATCTCTTAAGGCAATGATTACTATTATTGTATTCAAGGTTCAGCATATGCTTTGAGGTGGTGCAATGAGGCATCAGGTACCTCTAAACAATGAAATTAGTTTCATAAGGAAACAAATGGATAAGATTAAAAGTGAGGCAGGGAAATTGCAACAGTGTGTGAAAATAAGGATCAGAAATTGATCTGAGTTGTTCCTGACTTTAGAAAGCACAGATGACCACATACTTAAAACCCATTTAGGATGTTTTTAAGTTGTCTGATCATCTGTCGCCTACTCATCTATCAAAACAATCTTCACCTATTTTTATAAAATAGATGGTTAAGATAACACAAAACCTAATTCCAAAAGATGTTTTCCAAGACTAAGTCCTCTGACAAACTTTAAAATGGTCTTGATAAGCAGGTCTCTAGACCTTGTGTAGGCCTTGCTCACAGCCGGGGACTGTGAGGCCAACAGCCTGCTGAACTTCCTGAAGCTCAGCTCTCCCATTTGTTCAGAAGCAAGCTGCAAAGCTTTTCTAGAATGCCTTGAGAGAAATTACCCTTTTCTGTAGATTACTTAAAAAAAATGTATTTTAAAGTGGTGTAATAAGAACAAGAATGTAATTAACTCTGTTTCATGACAGGTTTGTTTACATACAAAGGAGTTTGCTAACCTTTGTAAAGATAGTATGTCATAAATTAGAGATACGGTTTGAATTAAAAAATTTATTATAAAATAATAATAAATAATTTAACAAATGTGTCACAGTAGGTTTTCTAATATTTGTGAGCCAAAATATAAAAAATATAATTTAAAAATTATGTCTAATAAAGGGGAAAGTTTGGAATTAATTGCTGTAGGTTACAGACTATCAGTGCCCCTGGCCTGGCCCAGAGGTGATGTGTTGGCCCTTTAAGATGGAGTATGCCAATGGAGGCTGGGGGAGGAGCAGGGTCGACCCTGGAAGTTCTAGGAAACAATTTTGCTACCCAATTATGTATCTGTGTTATAAAAAGGATTCATATTTTTTTTGTACCTTTAATTTATTTATTGATTTTTATGTGGTGCTGAGGATTGAACCCAGGGCCTCGCACATGTTAGACAAATGCTCTACTACTGAGCCCCAGCCCCAGCCCCAAAGGATTTATAATTGCAAGCTGATTTCAAAGAATCATTTTGACTAGTGTCAACAGCAACTACAAGATTTATAAGTGAGAAATGGTGACTAGAAATCAGCAAAACTAACCTTCCCTGAATAGGTGTCTTTGCTTGGCATTTTGGCGGGGTATGTGTGTGTGCAAACTCCACCTTGCTAAGTGGCCGTGAGACCTCTACTGGTCAAAAGGAAAGGGAAACATTCATCACAAGCCCTGTTTTGGAAAGCAGTATCTCAGTCATTCACTAGATTTGGTTTTTCTTGCAATCAAGAAATTGGTTGGGAGGAATGAGAAATTTGGAAAATAAGATCTTGCATACTTCTGCTTTTTGGAAAATGCTTTGATTTGATTTGGTTTATTCTTCAGGTAAGTCAGGGGAGAAAGGCTGAGTCAACTCAACCCTTTAAAACCCCAGGCTTCACAGTCTTCATCAAATAAACCTATCTATAAAAATGAAAAAACAAACAAACAAACAAAAAACCCCAGGCTTAAGTCAAGTCATCTGAGAACTGGCACCTCCATGCTTTCTCTAGCGATCTCTCCGTCTGGGGAATTTGGAGGGCAAGGTGTGCTTCTCACATGGGCACTGTGCCAAGGCAGGTATCTGGACATACTCAAGAGTTATTGCAGGCCAGGATCCACACCTTCTATTGCTTCTTCCTCTTTCATCTTGATACTTTTCTAAAGAACAAAGAGCCCCCTTCCTACAACAGACATGGCCCTTGATCTAACTAAATGTGCCCACCATTGAAACAGATGCTGGTTCACTCCCTTCCTTTGAAATTCTAATGCATGACCAGACATAGATATCAAGTATTCTAATAACCAAAATGTTTTCATATTCTGTCCTATCTTCCATGCTTCTTATTTCTAAACAAAAACATGTGGGAAAGTTCTTCTAAAAAAATGCTCTCCCACTGGGGCATGGTGGTGCATGCTGGCAATTCAAGCAGCTGGGGAGGCTGAGGTAGGAGGATTTTCAAAGCCAGTCTCAGCAACTTAGTGGTAGTGATACTTTAAGCAGCTTAGTGAAACCCTGTCTCAAAGAATAAAAAGAGCTGGGGATGTGGGACAGGGGTTAAGCACCCTTGGGTTAAATCCCTGGTATAATAATAATAACAACAACAATAATATGCTGTCCTTTCCAAATGGCTTCCAGATTACAATAGGAACAACAAGACCTTCAGCGCAGAGTGGTGGGGATGTAGCAAGGATATGGTAGGGGCATGGTATGAGTGGAGCTCTCAGCAGGAGGTATGTGTGAGCCTTGGGTCACCTCAGGTGCAGTGGGCCAACTGGGCCTGGGAGCCCAGGATCTGCCTCAAGCAGTGGACTGAGAAAGGGCAGCAGCAGTACCTTGGCTTTTTGGCTGGCTCCAGCAGCTCGAGGATGCAAAGGAAGGTCATGAGGTTCCGTCTGCTGTTTATTAGCAAAGTTCACAAACACCTGGAGTCAAAAGAAGAGCAAGAGTTAAGTAGATGTCTCCAGAAAAACAGCACCCTACACGACCTACCCAGTTAACTCTGTATTTTCCAATTATCATACAGCCATACTGGGGTGACTGGTGTCCTGACCAGGGGAGGCTGGTACATGCACACAAACCCAGCCACTGGTCCCCTGGACAGAGCTTGCATCTTCCGAGCCAAGCCAAGGAAGTTCCTGTTAGAGGTTTCAAAGGACTTTGGGTTCAGATGTTGGAGTAACCAAGGCAAGGCAATTTCTCAGATAGCACCTTCCTAATCTGTTAAAGAAGGAACTAAGAAAAGGTAGTTGACTCTTTTCTGATCTTCATTCAATGCACACAACTCCTGCCTAAGGAATCCAGTTTGGCCTTCATCTGCTCAAGGCTGATAAGAAGGTGCAAGTGAGCAGGTGAGCCAGCTCCTCTTCAAGGAGTAAAGGGTGACTTGCCTGTTTCTACTGTTTTGTTGAACTGTCTTTCAGGGTGTTTAGTAAAGAAAACACTCAGAAAGAACCCAAATGTCCACTGATGAATGAATAGAAGGATAAGCAAAATGTGGCATTTAAACCCAATGGAATATTATTCAGTCTTAAAAAGGAAGGAAATTCTGACACATGCTACAACATGGATGGGCCATGAGGACATTATGCTTAGTGAAATAGGCCAGTCCCAAAAGGAAAAATTTTGCATGATTCCACTTGTGTGAGGTACACAGAATAGCCAGTTTCATAGAGACAGAAAGAAGAATGATAGTTGCTAGGAGAAGCGGCAGAGTGGAGGAGGAAGAACAGTATAGTTTAATGGACACAGTTTCAGTTTTGCAAGCTGAAAAGAGTTTTGGAGATGGGTGGTGGTGATGGTAGTTAACACTCCTGAATTTTACACTTAGAAATGGTTAAGTGGTAAATTATATATATTTTACACAAACACATATATATTTTTACCACAATCAAGAGTGTGATTACATTATAAAAATACAGATGGAACATGTTTATAAAAACTCACCAAAGTGGGCCTGGGGTTGTGGCTCAGTGGTAGAGTGCTCACCTAGCATGTGTGAAGCACTGGGTTCGATCCTCAGCACCATATTAAAAAAATGAATAAATACAATAAAGGTACTATGTCCATCTACAACTAAAAAAACAAACAAACAAACCTTTTTTTAAAAAAAATCACAAAAATGTACACTTAAAATAGGTGTGTTTTATTATATGTAAATTACATATCACTAAAGTTGATTTGAAAAAAAAAGCCACCACCACACACAAGAAAGAAATAACATGTAAAAGAAGAACGATCTAAAAAAAAAAAAAATCACTGACATTGTTTGCTGACGAGTAACATTATTTGAAAACAATTTCTGATTTATCAAGATTTACCCTAATAGACAGAGACAAAAGTGTGTTAAAAATCGGGAATGTCATGCCTGCCTCTTGTGTCAACTGCAGCCCACGTTGGCATTCTGGCCCAGTCTTTGCACAGTCTTCTCTCCTGTGCCTGGTGCCCTGAGGTGGACTTGCCTGATCCAGTGTGGTCTGTGTGACTGAGTACTCCTCGATGAATAGGCTGTCTTTGTGGGAGAGGAGCAGCTGGAAGATCCTGGCCAGGGAGGAGGAAGAGACCTGGAACTGGAGCATGTTGTAATGCCTCTCCCTCTGCACACTGCCAGGGAAGTTCCCCTGGAAGAACTGTTCCACGGGATTCAGGTCAGGAAGCAAGTCATCCTTTGGGGATTTGATTTTCATTGTGACAATGTAGCCATCTCCAAACCTAAGGGATGCACAGTGAAGTACAGGCCTGTTAGTGGGTGGGGTCAAAGGCAATCACAAAATAAGGAGTAGACTCATCCTGCACACTGGGGTTAGGCCCATACCATTGGCCATCTGTGTGTGTTTAAAACTAGGAGAAAGAAATGTAGTAGTCCTTGGGGAAACCTTTTGGTACCAGTTTTTAAAGGTCTGAATGTGTGTGGTAAAGTGGCAAAGTTGTACTTTCTGAAGTCAAAGGTGGTTGTAGCCCTGTGGAGATCCCAGGCCCGCTGATAAAGACATGTGACCAGTGCATTCTGAATGGGGTGGCAAGGGCTGACTGGCCTTTAGGACACCAGCCAGGGGGAAGCAAAGGCCTGGGAAGACAGCATGCTTTCTCTAAGGAAGTTTCCAGAAACAGGGCCATTGGTGCTTCCTTCCTCCCTTCACCAGGTTGCTGGTAATCTTCACAGGGAGGATGAAGGATGGTCTACCAGAGAGTGTGCTGGTGGTCCTTTGGCATCTGTATATGGCTAGGTCAGGGTGTATGATGAACACTATCATTGTAAGGTCCCTCCTTGACCTAGGGCCATTCTCTATCCTTCTTTCAGCTCCAGAGAATTGATGTCTCTCCACATGGGAAAATGCCTCCTCATCTCTTCAATCATCTCCTCTATCATGGAGAATGAGAGGCAAAGGAGTATGGGGTCATCTCTCAGCAGTTGGGCACAAGGAATTGCTGACACAGATCTGACCTTACGTGCTGATGTCCTCACAAATATCCAGCATGGAGACTGTAATTACTCAAGAAATCAGGGTCAGATATCCATTTGCCAAATGTAGCTCATCTACTAGACCTTTCTCCCTAGACCTTTTCACTGAAATACACTTTTACAGATCCTTAAGATTAAGCACATCCGCATAGGTAAGGTAGATTCTGTGATGTCCCTTTTATCAACTAGCTGATGATTTTAGATTCTGGGCTCTTGATAAGTGTGTTAAATAAAATCCACAACTATAAACCCACTCTTTCCCAGGTTAGAAGGCATGTCAGAATGCAAGGGAACCTGGCAATATAATGATAATCTTGTTTTAACTGGTTGTTAGTTTCAGCACACAAACTGTAAATAAGGAATTATTTACAACAATTTATGGGTACAGGATAATTCTAATCGAGACTACTGGCATTCTTAGTTTCTTATGGTCATTTTTCAAACTTAAAAGCATATAATAGTCTAGAGAAGAAATCTGGTTTCCAAGTTGTTTGGTCTCCTAATCATTCTTATATTGGTTGTGGCCTCTCATGATAAAAGCCAGAGTGGATCTGGTAGGATAAGTGAGGTGACATTGAATCAGTGTTTTAACCACAAGCAATTAGTCCAATACAGAGGAACTTATTATCAACACAATGCTTTCTGCATTTGCCTCGGGGGCACTAGGCCCAGCTACCACTAACAGGTGGGATGAGAGGCAGCAGGATTCTCCCAAGCATCCATAGAGAACACAGGGCCTGGTTCAACCCCACAAAAGGTAGCAAAAAGGAGGCCGCCACCCACCCCCCAGCTTGCTTACTTGTATTTGAGGTGCTGAATGGTGCCCAGACACTGAAAGGTGCCCTTCACCATGATGGCTAGCCGGGTACACAGTGCCTCACACTCCTCCATGCTGTGGTACAGGAGAGAGGAGATGAGGCAGTAGCAGGGACTCCCACCCACCTTCCCCACCCTGGGCATCTCTTGCCTGTGAGAGGTGAGGACCACGGCTCTCCCTTCTCTGAGGATGCTCACAATGGTGTTCCACAGCATGCGTCGCGCCTGAGGATCCATTCCGGTGGTGGGCTCATCCTGTGGGGTGGGAGAGAGAGCGGGGCATGTGGACTTGGAGTTGACCTTTTTGGGTCACTACAGACTCTGCCAGCTGACTCCCTTTGAGCAGCCCTGGTGTCTGAGAAGGATGAGCTGACAGATACTTTCTCAGTGGTTTCCCAGCTCAGCAAGATGGGGGAGGGGCACCCAGGTGCAGCACATGGAAGGCTGGAGGTGAATCAGAGTAAAGAAACATGATGTACACCTCTAGATTCCTTCAACCTGAGAGTAGGTTACAGTTGATATAGGCAATGGTAGAATTATCCTTTAAAAAGGCCAAAATAAAACAAAACAAGCAAACAAACAAACAAAAAACCCCACCAAAATGGACAACACAAAACTACAAGTGTGTAAGGAGAGGAAGATAACCCAGGTAACTTTTTGGCTCCCTCCATGTCCTGTGACCCATGCCCTCATGAACCTCAGACTGCAAGGTCTGGGGCCCTGGGCCTGCTCCAGCTCTGGGGAGAGTCATGGGAGCCTTGGATCCAGATCAACATGTCTGTACACAGGTATCCCACACAGACCCCCTCATGCTGAAGTAATTTCCAACCAGACACCAACATTCCCCAGAGGGGACAGAACTTCCCCATGGTGAGCTGTGGCCCTGGAGAGACTTCCCAGCAACTCCTAATCAGACCATGCCTGAAAGCTGCAAAGCAAACACTGGGCTGATGGCTCAAAAGGAACCGTGCAGGGTGCAATCCAGATGAAAACAAACTGCCACAGGACCTGGGACACATTTTCCCGACCAGAGAGATGCCGACTTGCTTGGCTCTTAGGGTGGCCCCCCCAACTTCCGGTTGCGATGCCCTCACCAGCAACACCAGAGGTGGGCAGCCGATGAGTGCCATGGCTGTGGAGAGCTTCCGCTTATTGCCCCCACTGTATGTGCCCACCAAACGATCAGCATAGAGAGACAGGCCCAGGCTCTGGATGCTCCAGTTTGCAACCTAAAGAAGAGAATGAAATCCCATCTGGAGAAGAGGAACATGGGCACACGGCAGACCTCCATGGTTCAAAGTTTCCCGTTCGCAGATCCCACCGGTCCAGGATGACAGACCCAGTTAGGGCTACTTGCTGGCTCCTGTCCTCTGGCACATGCTTCAGGAGCAGATAGAGTCTCCTTTCTACTCTGTACCTTTGATACCAGTGTGTCTTGGGCAGCTCAACAGTCATCAAGGGAGTGAACTTAGGGAAATGAACTTAGGCCTTACAAAGATGAAGAGAGCATTTCTTACCATGTCCTAGACTGTGGCTATTGGAAAAGGAAGAGTCCTAAGGTCTCTTTGAGAAGATGGTGGGTCCAAGACCTACTGGTTCCACCCCTCAATAGAGTCACACCTAAAGTTTTGTGCAGTTAATGCATACTTACAGAGCACTCACTATGTCAGGCACTGTGCTAGGCACTGGAGAACAATGGTAAACACAACCATCATGCTATGCTCACAGATGGGCAGCAAGGACAGACAATAGAAATTAAATAGAATGACAGCAGTGTTTTGAGGGAGTTCTACAGGGAAACATGATATAGAATAACAGGGGTGGAGGTATATACACGTGCACATTTGTACAGAGGAAAAAACTAAGAAAGTTGATGGAGATGATCGCACCATGCTCTGCCTTCTGCATTTGTTGTACTCTGCCTGGTATGGATACTTCACTGATTTATCAATTGTCCCTCCTGCTAGAATATAAGCTCCATTTTTGACTTTTCATTTGGAAATAGTTTCAAACTTTTAAAAATGTGTAAAAATAAAAGAAATACAAAGAACATTCATAAGCTCCCCCTCTCTTTCTCATACAAACACACACACACACACACACACACACACACACACACACACACACACACACACTTATTTTTCCTGACCTGTTTGAGGATAAGTTTATGGACCTTCATTTCTAAGTACTTCCATGCATAATTCCTAAGAGTAGGGATATTCTCTTACACAATCGTAGTTTGGTTATCAAGGTCAGTAAATTAACACTGTCATGATATTTATCTAATCTACTTGTTCATAGTTCAGTTTTATCAACTGTCCCAATAATGTTCTTCATGTCACCCCACTTCCCCACACCTTGCTTCAGCACATGATGCAGTCTATTGTCTATAATTCACTCTTTATATCTCTTTAGCCTCCTGTTATAGGAATATTTCCACAGCCTTTCTTTGTCTGTATGTCTTTGATATTTTAAAAGAATATTTTTTAAAAATGGAATGTTCCTTCTTTGGAATTTGTCTGATATTTCCTTATGATAAGATTCAGATTACACATTTCTAGTAAGGATTCCATATGAGTGAAGTTGTGTCCCTTGGGTATCCTGTTTGGGGCATGAGATGTCCACCTGTCTCTTGTAGATAACATTACTTTTGATCACTCAGTTAATATGTTGCCTAATTTTTCCATTATGAATTGCTCCCCACCCCTTGCAACCAAAAAGCTATCTGTGTAGATGTTCTTTTAAAACATGTAAATTTCCTCTCTCATAAAAACTTCCCCTAGATTTATTATCCATTGGTGATTTTTGTGCAATCTGGTCTTTAATATGGTCATTGCAAAGTCGTTTTCTGACTCCAGAACTTCTTCACACTAATCAGCACTTGACTGTAAGCAAGATCCTTCCCTTCTCTTCTATTTATCTAACAGTATAGACACAAATTCCTACTTTACCTCCAGTGTTTTACAACCTATCATGGTATTTCATTATTTTGATTTTCAGATTGTTCCATATTTGGCTGTGGTGGTCCCTTCAGGATGGCTCCTATGTTCTTGTGACATATCTCTTCATTTTGCTTCCTACTTTTAGCACAATAAGATGTTCCAGCTTTGGCATCTGTCACTTATTTGAAGAGTCATGGTTCCCTTTAGAAGGGGAATATTATGAAGATCAAAATCTGGGCAGAGTACACTCACAGCTATTAGGGTATTCTTCCTTCTTGGCTCTTTCAGAGGACAATAAACACATACACACCAATATGCACATGCATATATGCATGTAAATGTGCACTATACGTGAGCCTACCTATATACTTACATAAAAGCATGTAAGTATTTCATGAATTCACAGTGTTAACTCTAACTCCAATCCACCCCGCAGAGCTCCTTCTTGCTTTCCCCCTTTCTGTGTTTGTATTGTTACTTCTTCCATGGTGAGAATGTTGGCTCCAAAAACATTAACACATTTATCCATTTACTTAATCCTATATAACACATCTAAAATGGTTTCAGAATTGCTTTTTCTATGCCACTGTAAAAATCTAAAAAGAACTCAGAACTTGAAGTTCTTTGTCCTCACTGCACCCTGCCCAAGACTGAGAATAGCCAAATACTATGTTCGTCAGTTGTATTAGTTCTTCTCCCATATCTGTATGCTTATGATATTTATTTGAAATAAAATTGGGTTTAATTAGCTTCAGTTTATATGCAATGTTTTTTGCTTCCATTTATACTTTCTTCTCATTCTTTTGATTTAGTTTTATATATGAATATGTAGAATATTAACATTTGCCAGAAGCTAAAACTATAGAAAGAGATATCCCCAGAGAATTATTATCCCTTCCCTTCTTCCATCCTAACTCCCTCTTATTCATCACCAAATCCATTGTTTTCTGGTTTACCCATTTTGTGTTCTATTTGTGAAGGTAAACAGACATTTAAATGATCTTTTATTTATTTTTTTACATAAAAGTAGCATTCTATTAGTTCTCTTTTGCATTTTGATTTTTTCCGTTTAACAATATTAGAATTAACTCCCATCAGTTCACAGAGATCTTCCTTATTCTTTTTTTTTTTTAATAGCTGCACAAGATTTGTTGTGTGCATGTACCATAAATTCATCAACCAGTCTACTGTGCCTAAACATTTAGGTAATATCCAGTATTTTGCATTATAAATGCAATGAATAACCTGTACATATGCATTTTTTTTTTACTGTGGGATATGTATTTTCAGAAGTATAACTGCTGGGTTGATAGGTAAGTGTGCACATATTTTTTGATATGAATGTAGGAATTTTTTTTTCCTACTTTGTTCACTACTCTATCCCTGGCTTCTAGAACAGTACTTGGCATCCAATAGACACTATAGAGCATTTGTTGGAATGAATAAATGAATGGATAGTATGCTTTAATTTCCAATCTCTAAATTAACATACTCCATGAAATAGGCTTATGGTTTGCCAAACTCTTATATGGCCACAACAAACCATTATTACCTTCTCAATTTCTTTTGCTGGTACACCCCGAAGCCGGGCATAAAGGTAGAGGTGTTCTCGGCCCGTGAGCAGGTCATCAACTGCATCAAACTGAGGACAGTAGCCCATATTTTGATGGACTTCAGAAATATTGGTTAAAATACTGTAAGAAGAAATAGCAATTGGTGAGTTTCCTACATAGAGAGAATGACTAGAGATCTGGGCTGGAAAGCTTCTTCCAGGGGGATAAGTAGGCTGACTCTTCTCCTTCCTGCTTTGCTTTAGCAATGCACACCAAATGTTCACATTTGGAAATCAAAGCAGGGACCTAGCAAAGAGGCAAACATGTGAGAGGTCATCCGTTGTCCTTTCCCATAGATGCAGGAAGTCTGTTTAAAATTGCAGAGGGAAGCATTCACCCTCTGGAAGCTGAGGACACAGGCCAGTTTTTCCTTTATACTCTTTGGTGTGGCAAAGCCAAGCATCAACATGCAGTCATTGCAGACCTAGGGCTCTCAAGAGTCCTTTAACAAGTCCCTATCTAGAAACAACCTTCATCATGGTAATTCCGAACTTGGGATCCAGGGGCTCCAGCAGGGTCATGAACATGCTTCAGGGTTCAGTAAATTCCCTGAAACTTTTTGCAAAAATGTGTGGAGAGAGGTCATGGGAGGTGCTGGTATATTCTTTTGTATTTTTTAGTACCAGGGATTGAAGTCAGGGGACTCGAACACTGAGCCACATTCCCAGCCCTATTTTGTATTTTTATTTTAGATTTTATGAAACATTTTCACTAAGGAACTCACTGAGTTGCTTAGTGCCTTACTTTTGCTGAGGCTGGCTTTGAACTCTTGATCTGTCTCAGCCTCCCAAACTGCTGGGATTATAGGCATGCGCCACCACCCTGCTGGTGTAATCTTTTGTAGGAAGAGGGTGCAGGTTTATTAGGTGCTCAAAAGTTAATGACCCCAGAGAAATGAAGGACCACTGACTTATTGCTTCCTAGAACTTTCTAAGAACCAGTGCTAATAGCACTCTTATAATCACAATTCATTTCCATTTTTCAGTGGATCTCTTGTGTACTTTTAGGACCATGCTCTCTGGGAGGCAATGATCTTTCTAGGTCACAGAGTCATTCTGACATAGGATCTGAAGATCACCTTCTGTATGTTGGATCAGGGATGTGGCCTGTGAGCTACACCCTGAGGCAGAAAGGGCGGGGCACTCACCTCTTGCCTGCTATAGTGGCATCGCCTGATGTTACTGTGGTATCCCCTGTGAGCATCTTGAATGTGGTTGTTTTGCCTGCACCATTCACTCCCAGGAGACCAAAGCACTAGGAGAAAAAACAGAGCTGGTCTTGCACAGCAGAATAAGAGGGCCTGGAATGTCAGGCTCCAGTGACGGTGTGTGATCTGGGGGAGGCATTTGAGACCTGGATTGCCAGTACAGAGGCTACTAGCCACATGTGGCTACTGACACAAAATACACCTAGTCCCAATGGACATTGACCCTATGTGTAAAACACTCTGGATTTTAAAGGCTTAGAATGAAAAAAATGCAAAATAGCTCATCGATACTTTATATTAATTTCATATTGAAGTGATAACACTAGACATATTGAGCAAAATTAAAAATATTGTTAAATTAGTTTTATATGCTTTTATTTTTTAATGTAATTATTAGAAAATTAAAATTCACTACGTGGCTCTTGTTAGATTCCTATTGAGTAGCTCTGCTTCAGAGGGGAGGAGTCTTGCATAAACTGATTTTCTGAAGCACTTTCATATTGGTCTGCAGATACCTACCTCACCAGGACGGATTCCAACACATAGCCTGTCCACTGCTGGGCTGGAGGAGCCTGAATAAACCTGTAAGATCCAGAGAAACTGAGGTGAGGACTGAGACAGGGTTAGAGCAGGGAGAGCAAGAGCAAGCAGAGAAAGGTTAGTTTGGGAGAAAACCATCAATGCTCAGAGGTTATGGATTAACATGGGTGTTCAGAGAGCAGCTGTAAGCTCTGAGAATTGTGAAGCTGACCCATGCTGTACAGAAATGGAATGGAGAAAGATCAGTGATGGTCAGCTGAAGGAGCTCTCACTGAGGTTCTGTATCAATACCCAAGGGGAATAGCAGGGTCAAAGCATGTACCTAGATGCTCTTGGAAGATAAGTTATAACACAGAGATGATGATGATGCCACATATTAGGAAAACAGAGTGCTTGAAGAAGCAGATCACTTGCTCTAGAGAAGGAACATGACAACGTTGTGCCATCTGAGGTCCAACCAGTAGCACCTCCTAAGCAACTTGCCTACGCCTTTTTCTTTACCTTGGTGAGTTGATTTAGCCTTAAGATATCAGTTTTATCTCCACCACTAGTAATTCTTTGTCTCTCTTCAGCCACATCATCATCTTCATCAACAATAGGCTCCCTGGGGGGCTCGGCAATCCTAGGGGAAGGAAGAGGGACAGGATTGGGCTGGGTGTGTGGAGTCCTTGGGGGCACTGTGGTATTCACCTGACCTTTTCTCCAATTCCCTCTCTTCTGCTTCCCCTGGACTTCCATCTTCTAGGGCTTTTATTCTAAAAAGTGCTCCTAACAGGAGGTAGGCACAGAGAGGTTGAATGTTTACATCTAGAGTCAGCTCCAGGATCTAGTTCGTGCTGGATCTTTGGCAGGTCATGGACCTTTCTGAACCTTTCCTCTTCCAACCACAGGATGGAGAGAAGACTCTATCTCATACAGTTTAGTGAAGATGAGCTCAGCACAGTGCCTGGCACAGAGTAAAGACGCAGGACCTAGGAACTTACTAAGACTTTTTTTTCTATGTCAACAACTCAATGAAGCTTAGTTGCTGTCTACCAAGCTTTCTATGTTCTTCTACCCACTATGCAAACTCAACCTCTTAAAAACTGCTATCATCTGGTCATCCCATGCCACTAAACCTTCCATCATTCTCCATCAGCTATAGGCTAAAACCAGATTTCCCAGTTGGAATATCAGAGCCCTGTGCTCAGCACCCCTCACTCCCCCGCCCCTTCCCACCTGATCATCTCATTCTTCTATACTACTGGCGTCTGCCCCTGGTCCCTAGCTCATGCTGGCCTTTGCTACCTTTCACATATTCTCTTCCTCCTGCTCTGCTAAAGGAATCTTCCCATCCTTAAAGGCATAGCTTCTTCTCTGAAATTCTCCCTGACCACCAAGGCCTCTAGTGTCCCCATTTTCCCCTCACTGACTATATCTAGCCCATCACCAAGTTTTGTCTAAAAAACTTCCTGCTATTTATCCAATCAACCTATTTTTCTCCATCTCCTGATGCCACCATTTCTATCCAGGTCACCATGGTTCTTGCCTGAGTACCAATATGGCCTTCTGTCTGGTCCCCCTGCTCTAAGTCCTGGTAAGATCACATCACTTCTCTGATTTAAATACCCCCTCAGGGTTGTGTGTTGCCCTCAGGCTTGAGTCCCAAGTCATTAAGATGAGAGGGTGTTTCATGACAGATCTGTGCCCCTCCAGATTCATCTCCTGTCCCACTTCACCTTTCACAGCTAATCTGAACTCCTACCATTCCATGCACCATTACTTTCTGGGGCTTCTGTATCTGTGTGGGCCCTATCCTTGACAAGAGCACCCTTCCTTTCTCCCCTCCCTGGCTCCTTCTTAATATGGGTGTGGCTGGAAACCAGAGGCTGTGGCATGCCTTTTTGGTCCTCCTTAGGATCTAAGGCAGGCAGGACCCACTCAACTGTGCCGTCCTCAGAGTGTGATGGTAATGGCTTATTTGGCTGAATAACCCTCTTCTCCACCCTTTCTCACTCATCACAAAGGCCTTTAATAGATGTGGCCAAAGGCTGGGCTGGGGTTCAGTGGCAGAGTGCTTGCCTAGCAAGCTTGAGGCACTAGGTTCGATCCTTAGCACCACATACAAAAAATAAGCAAATAAAATAAAAGCATGCTGTCCATCTACAACTAAAAAAAAAAAAAAAAAAAAAGATGTGGCCAAAGCGGTAGAGAGGTCTTCAAGGGCTGAGGATCCCAAGAACAACAATTCCTCACACTGTGTCCCATAAGTAGAACCAATTCCTGATCATGTTTTATCAAAAGTGTTTGACCCATTATTTCTTTCAATCTTTATGATCCTGTGAGTAGAACAATAGATTAATTTCCAATGAATCAATTTCCTATGGGTCAAAAATCTTAAAAAATACACAAAAGAGCAAGTCCAATGGCTGGGTATGGTGGCACCAGTAATCCCAGAGACTTGGGAGGCTGAGGCAGGAGGATGGAGCCAGCCTTAGCTGACTCAAACCCAGCATCAGCTACTTAGCAAGGCCCTAAGCAACTTAGTGAGATGCTCTCTCTAATAAAATATAAAAGAGGACTGGGTATGTGGTTCAGTGGTTAGGCACTCTTGTACAAAAAATCCATCATCAATCCCTGATACAAAAAAAACAAAACAAAACAAAACAAAACCCAAAAAGGCAAGTCCAAACTTGGAATCTTTATTTACATGTGACTAGAATTAGTCTGAGAGAGGAAATATAAAGAAACAAAACACTGGCCAGGTGTAGTGATACACACCTGTAATCCTAGCAACTCAGGAGGCTGAGGCAGGAGGATGGCAAGTTTGAGGCCAGCCTCAGCAACATAGTGAGACCGTTCTCAAAATAAAAAAGAAAAGAACTGGAGAGGTAGCTCAATGATCAAGTGTCCCTGGGTTTAATCCCCAGTACAAAAAAAAAAAAAAAAAAAAAGAGAGAGAGAAGGAAAAGAAACAAAACACTGTCAGGAAATTTTGTTAGGGAGGGCCCAGTGATTGCAAAGCCAGTAAAGGTCCAGATTACAGAGGAACCTGGGTTGCTGCTCAAAATGAGGTAGGAGCTGGCAGGGCCTGGGGGAAGAGCCTAGGGAAGATGGGCTGAGCTGGGTTGGGGCCCTGGTCAGTTGACCCAGCCATTGAGAAGTCCTGGTAAAGTTAGAGTTGGCAGCTATTATCCAGCATCCAGGGAGGGAGGGTGAATCATTGCCCCTCACCCCTTCACAGGCTCCTGGCTGCACTCTTGGGGCATGTAGCCCCTATATTACTCCCCATATTCTCTGTCCTATGGTAACCCCACTTACATTTCTAATTAGCAAAAGGGTATACTTTGTGTTTTCTCAAAATTATTTCCTAGTTCTTTGGATGCTTTTTTAACCATTGTTATTTGCAATGCTATTGTATAATTTCAAATGAGTATGTGGTAATTAAAGGAGAAGATTAAAATAAAGAATTAAAACTAGTGATATTCTATTTTAAATAGTTTAAAGTTGAGAGTTGGCTTCAATTCTAATATGCCTATTTTAACCTATCTCTTCCTATGTTATTTAGAATAAGCCGGGCTTTGAAAATGTAAAAAACCATTATGGAGTGGGACTCCTGAGGAAAGAAATGACCATATCAGTATGAATTTCAGTCCAAGACACACTGAGCTGCCCGCTAGAACCCCCAGGTGCAGCAAGGGCATACCATCTGGTGAAGAAGAAGTGTTTCTGGACGAGGAGGTTCAAGAGGAAGTACACCACCCCTTCTGCTGCCATGGCAATCAGGTTCTTCCCAATCAGGTCCCACTGGAATGGATTTGGGGAGTGCTCCTCACCTGGAAATTTGAGGCCACTGAACATCAATAGAGATTGAGTCTGTGTAAGCTGCCCCAGGTACCCCCTAAAAACCTGGCTACAATAGGCCCAATTGGACCAGGCCTCATGCAAGGGATTAAGTAAGAGCCAAACATGAGTCTCATCTTGGCTTTCAAGTCAAAGAGGGAGAGAGTAAAAACCTGCCCTCTGCCCCTCCTATGACTCCTGAGCCATGAGAACAGAGGCACCCTAATCCCTCCTAGGTGGCAGAATAAACCCAAGCCAACACAATGCCTTTCCACCCCAGCCCAGGGTACAGATATGATTGTATCCTGCAATCCTCCCTGCCTCAATGGATCCAGGGCCTGTGCTCCATGGACCTTGAATGCCACCCACCAAACCGGGCATAGACGTCCGTCACAGCCTGACTCAGAGCCAGGTCAATGAGGCCCCGGCCCAGGCAGAAGTGGGGGAAGATAATGAGCAGCTTCCTCAGCATGGCGTTGAACCTGAGTAGCGTCTGAAACAGAAGGACAACTGTTAGATATAAGGGCTGATGCTGCCTACCCTGTCCTGAGCAGGTGGGCCAGGATGCCCTCTCAGGTGGGAGCAGGGGAGGTCTGCAGGAAAAGGACTTCCAGCTAGACTGGCCACAGGAGGGATTGGTCAGGCAGGATGCAGAGGGTTTGATGTGGACATCCTGAAGTACTAACTGGAGGTGCCTCAGGACTAGGCCACGGAAGTAATAATAAATTCGTGACTAATCAATGCCTGGGGCTCCCTGTGTCATTCTTGTGGGTAGGAACTAATACCTAGCCCAGTAGCATTTTCTAAATATTTATTGTGCTCAGTGCTATGTGGGCACTGGGGCTAACTGTAAAGAACATGCACATTGTTTTCCTTAATTAACCCTCCATGACTCCACGGACTACAGCAATAATCCATGGAGAAGCAGCGGCCTTGATGCTGTCTCTTTGGGCAGCTCTTCTGCAGACTTTCTTTGCCATGGTGTGGGAGTTCTCCAAGATGCCTGTTGCCAGAAGATGCAGCAGCTGCTAGGAGTGTGACTGGGGTCTCCCCTTTGGTACAGCTGTGAGTCAGACCTGAATAGAGGCTCTTCCATCAACTCTATCTTAGTCCAGCATGAACCAAACGGGAGCAGGCTTTCAGCTGCCTCCTGGCTCTGCTTCTCAGCTCTACACAGGGCAACCTGTTATTGTCTAAGCAGTTTTGGGCACAGCCTCCCTCTAAAAGGTAGAAAGGACACTAAGAAAGTGAGGCTGGTGAAATTTGCTGAGCCCAGCTGTCCACTCCCTCTGGCCCATTCCTACACTACACCTCCTACCTCTATAGTCTCTACACCTCTGCAGTTTCCCTCATCCTTCTCTACACCCACCTCCTAACTCTTCCCAGAATGCACTGTGCTCTTTTCCCTCTAGGCTTCTGCATTTGCGGTTTCATTTAGTTTCCCTCCTTTCCTTCCTCCCCTCCCCTCCCCTCCTCTCCTCCTCTCCTTCCTTCCTTCTTCTCTTCTCCTCCTCCCTCCCTCCTTCCCTCCCTCCCCCTCCCTCTCTCCTCCCTTTCTCTCCTCTCTCTCCTTCTCCCTCTCTCTCTCCCCTCTCTCTCCTCTATCTCCTCCCTCTCTCCCTCTCTCCCTCTGTACTGGGGATTGAATCTAGGGGCACTCTACCACGGAGCTATATCCCCAGACCTTTGTATTTTTTATTTTGAGACGTGTATGGACAGACTGACCACGAACTTGGGATCTTCCTGCCTCAGATTCCCAAGTGACTAGAATTACATGCTTGTGCCACCAGGCCCAGTGGCATTTGCAATTTCTGACACCTATAGCTCTTAGCAGGAAAGGATGTTCTTTTCCCTTGTGTTCTCTGACAAGATCCCTACCCTTCTTTAGGGAGTCACTCAAGCAGTCCCTTCTCTCTTAGGCCTCCTCTGATTCCTGGGTTAAATATTCTTTCCTCTCTTACCACATTCCTGGGATTATTTCTTTTTTTAATGCACCTACTTTCTCCACTTAAATACCTTGGTTCCCTAAATACCTTGTACAGTGGTTAGCTCATTGTAGTTACTTTATGATTCATTAAATAGGCTAATACTATTCTATTTACTCCAGGCCTGATTCAAGTTGAAAATCCCCCATAAGATGCTTCTAATTCCTGCAGCCCAGCTCTCTGGCCCACTCTGATCTGTAGTCTTTTACATTTCTTGCTCCTTTGATGTTTTATGGACTACCATATATCATGGCTTTTGTCACTTGCTAACTTTGATGTGCAGCTTGTTTCCTTGCTGGAGCAGGAACTCCTGGGCATAAGATGAGTGAGTCACACTTGTTTCCATTCACATATCTGTCACATGGTGTTCACCTAGTAAATGCCTCCCAACTAAGCAATGATAGCAGCTACCCTAAGAGCCTCATGTGGGATACTGGAAATTTCTGTAGCATTTATTGCTCAAGTAAGCAGCTTTTATGGGAAGAAGAGTGCTTAGTAAATGGCTAAGTGCTCAATATGTGGCTGAATGTGACTGCAGGAGGGAGAATGTTCTGAGTTCCTTTTAGCTTGCTATTTAATTATTCTGTAATAACACACCCTCTTAAGACAGTGGGCTGTAAGCCTATGGCAAAAACAGCTCTGATGAGCAGCATTTTCATCCACCAGGTATGCAGGCCATCTTCTAGCTCTGTGTTCTTATCCATGTCCCTCTGGTCTGTGATCTGCCATATTTCTATTATTAATGGCACAGGTAGGTTAATTCCTGGCTCAGTAGCCACAGAAAACCTCACTAGGTCTGGGGGAAAGTGGCTCTTAGGTAGTCATGGGAGGTTAGCTTAGGGCCTCAGTACAGACTTACCCTCTGTTTTTCCAGCAAGGGCACAGTGCAGATATGCTGGCTGGTGCCCACCCCTTGGACTGTGAAGAATTCATGAGGAAAGGAAGGGCTAGCGAGATGCCTGAGGATACAGGAACACCAGCAAACCTGAATGCTCTGAGGACAGCCATGAAAGGACTCAGACAGAGCAGGTGGGAGTGTGGAGTAAAGGCAGCCTTGTAGCTACTGCCACTTCTTTTAGGATTCAGCTGGCCATTTCTTTCTGGAAGGGAAAGTCAGAGGGTATGGACAGGACAAGTGGACTTCGTAGCTCAAAACATTTGAGTCATTTAGGACCATGATTTCCTAATCCTGTCCTAGGGATTAACAGGTGCAGGATAGTACATGGTATATGTTGTAATTTGCATAAGAAGTGGGAGAAAGAATATTTATATATTTACTTTATGTCTCTAGAACACATTAGAAACTTGAATAAGGTTTCCTCTGGAGAAGGAAACTGGGTGAATCAGAAACAGGGGTAGAAAGGAGATTTTTTTCATTATATGTCTTTTGTTCCTTTTACATTTTGAAATCACCTAAATGTGATACTTACTAGTGTCAGTGTGTGTGTGTGTGTGTGTGTGTGTGTGTGTGTGTGTGTAGAAAACCTAACAAACCTAACACAGTCCCAGAGGAAACTTTCTTGAAAGGATATGAAAATCTAAAAAGTCAGGGTCTTGCAGTCATTTATAGCTTGCAGAATAGGCTTAGAAAATGCAACATTCAGAGCATGCAGATCAGCAAGAAGAAAGGCATGCTGGGAGGGAAAGAAGACAACAATGCTGGTCTAAGCACTGAGCATCTACACATGCAGTGCTTGCCCATGGGTCTGCTTGGCCATTGCATACTACTCTCTAGTACAATATACTCTTAATCAAATAGTATACTCTTAATCAAATAAAGATGCCAAGAAAGTCACACTCACCCGGTTACTCTCAAATAATTCCAAGATGAAGGTGATGGCACTGCTGTTGATGCCGATGAATAGATTAGCACAAGACAAAGCCACATAGGCTGTGCTGGGGACGTCAAACAGGAAGGATGCTGGGTACATCATGGGAATGACTGCCCATCTGTGTGAAATGGCAATACCATGGGAAATGTTCCAATTGTCATCCTATCAGCTGTACCTAGATAGGATGTACTCCCCTCATGTGTGAGGTGACACATTTGAATGGCCAGAGTCCCAGGGGGAAAAAAGAGATGCTCCATCCCTAAGTTCTATGCCTCATCTTTAAATGGAGATCATAAGGCCTGTCCTGACCATCTCATGGGTCATATGAGGAGCAAATGACAGTGGCTGTGTGTATATTTTGTTAAATACAATACACAGGAGGGTTCTCCACCCTGCAGTGCTTCTGGCTCTAGTCTGGATCAGCAAAGCAAAGTTGAAGGTCCCCAGCAGCTCATCATCACAGTTCATTGGGCAGCTCATAGTTCCCTGGCTTCTGAATTCCCCTTTTCCAAGAGAGATGAATGGAAACCATTGCTCTGGTAAGATTTTACTGGCCCACATAGGAAGGGCAGGGATCATTATTTCCATTTTTCAGATGAGGAAACTGGGCCCCACATGGGTGGTTTACTTGTCCATAGTTACACCCACAGAAAGAGGAAGGCCTGGGATATAAAGTTGCATGATGGGCTCTACAACCAGCTGGACTTGAATCTCTGTCACCCTCTAGCCTGACTCAGGAGCAGCTTTCCAGCTGGAGTTTTCTATTATGTGAAAAGAACTCCTGGGCAGTACAGATGGAAGCACAGAGATGGGCAAAGTGGCCACGGATGACTCAGGGTTGTGGAGGAACTGGGGAGTGACCAATTCCCAGACTCCAGGCAAGGCCACAGTGGGAGTGCAAGAAGAGTCAGACTATGTGGAGCCCTTCCCAATGTCCCTGAATGGACTATCCTTAGAAATACCCCTATTGGAAAAGTCAGAAACAGAAGCCAGATTCCTGATTAGCAGATGTAGACCTTGCTAGGGACTGGACACTAACCCTGTGCATCTACCACTGCCGGAAGTCCCACCCCACCCCTGGCTTCCCTTTGGTGCCATTAGTTAGGAGCCCAAATGACTTACCCATACAGCATGAGCAGAGCAACAAGGGCAGGAAGATTGCTTGGGGATGTGTAGGCTTTCTTCTGAAACCCCACGAAGATGCCCACCACCAGTCCTGCACTCACTGCATAATTTATCTTGAACAGAGAAGATAGCAAGTCATGAACAACTAGGACCTGTTTCATGGTCTGTACAATGAGGGATGGAACCAGGATCCTCCAGATCTTAGGGTCTGGGGTTGACTTCATCTGTCTAAACAGTTCCTAGTCTTCCTGCTGTCTCCTTCCCCCAGGGACCTTCAGTCTATATCTATGAGATGAATAAATTGAAACATCCAACTGGATCTCTCACTCTTTCTAATTGGTCACGAAGCCCCACTGATGCTACTTTCTAAGCACATCTCTAGAATTCAGAAAAAAAAATAGTCATTGATCTCACAAAGCTCAAACAGATGATGACACTCTTTTAAAAAAATGCATTCCTGAAGCCATTAGGTCAGGCACAGGAAGGTGGGCACTCATGGTAGGGTTAGGTCTCAAACAGGATGAAAACCAGAGGAGGGTGAGGAGGGCACCCACAGAGGGTTCCAGGGAGAGTGGTTGAGCCCCAAGGGGATGAGGAAAGTGTTCTTCCAGGGGGCTGAGCTGGTGTGGAGTATCAGAGCCAGGACTGAAGGAAGAGGAGCTCCACAGAGCAGCAAAAGCAGGGAGAGGGGATATCTATGCAGGGAGGGGTAGTAGCAGAGATGGGGCACTTACTTGTTACTTACAGGTAATAAACTCTGATAGATAAATGATTTGGGGTGATAAAAGCCAGTTTCTCAATCTTGGAGAAGGGAGTTATAAATGCAGAGACAGAAAACTAGAATGAGCCTCTGGTGTTGGACTGGAGCTAAAGGTTTTGGTGAGCATAGAGCTTAGTGTGCAGAGACTGAGGAATACAGATGTAAGTGTGTGGATGTCTGTGGACATATATAATGTATCTTCCCTGGGTCTATCTACTGAGAAGACCTGGTTCCAATGACACTTTAGTGGCAGTGAACAAATCTGGCACCCAGATCTTGGTCTCTGAGGGCCACTTTCCCCTGAAATGAACCAGGGCCCTTTGGGGAGATGGTTGGTTCTGGGAAGGGGTGGCCGAAGGACAGGGTAAGCTTGGAGCATCTTGTGGTGCCAGGGAGCAGTGAAGTGCTCAAGGAGGATGTAGACATAGTGAAGAAGGCACAGAGGCCAGCTTGAAGGAGCTTTCCCTGCCACACTTGGGACAATCTTCATATTAAGCTAAGTAATGATGGAAAGGAGTTATAATCCATCAATTAACACTGGACCCATGACTACATACAAATATATATAAATAAGTAAATGAACAAATGGAAAGTTTGACAACAAATAGGATATTTGCACATATTCAAAGTACTTCTCAAAATTTTTTTTCAATTATAAAGAGAAAGAGAATAGTTCTGACAGTGGAAAGTAGTTCTGACAGTAGACACCTTCTTAAGTGAAAAGGTAAACATCCTCAGTAATAGGACAACTTAAACCGGAAACAAGCTGATAAGATGCAAAAAGAACCCAGCTTCCATTCCATGACACTGCTGCCTGGGGACACTCTACCTCATAGGGAAGGCTCAGGCAAACCCAGATTGAAAGATGTTCTGCAAAAGAAATGGCCTGTAATCTTCAAAAGGACTAAGACCACAAGCATTAAGAAAAAAAGAGAAACTAACTGTACCAGGCTAATGGAGATTAAAGAGACAGGACAACCAAATGCAAGGCAAAATTCTGAGCTAGGTCCTTGTCTAAAAAAGACATCATTGGTGCAATTGGTAAAACTTGAGTGGGGTCCAAGAAACAGGTGGCAGTGGTGTCCCAGCACTGGTTTCCTGAAGTTGACAGTT